ACTGTCGTCGTGCTTGAGCAATGTACTCTGCAGCTTCTCTTTCTTGTATTTCTCTGATTTTCTTCTGTCCATATTTTCCCAGGATATATACTCCTAAAATTATATTTTTAAAACAAGCAAGTATGTTAATCTAGTTAATTTGAGTATTAAAAATTCCAAACAGTATTTTTAACCTGCTTCATCCAAATATAAGGTTTATATCAATGGAAAGTTAAAAATCACAACTTTTAAAAATCTAAATTGAAGACTTATATAGGAATTGTGACCTAAATAGAAGGAAAAGGAGACTGGCATTTTAACAGCCAATGATGGGTACATAAAGCTAAGTCTGAAGAAACCAGAAAGGAATTAAGTGTACAAGTCTGGCGATGCCTTTAATAGCGAACTGGAGATATTCTAAGTGTCCAGCAATAAGGGATTGTTTAAATAAATTATGGTCTATCCATACAATAATCTTATGAAATCCTATGTGGCTGTTAAAAACTACATTGCTAAATTAGCTAATGACTCAAGGAAATATCTATATATATTGTTAGGTTATAAAATAAGATCTGGATGTTTCCCTTTTTAACATAAGTAGACATACACAGAAAAAAACAGATGGGTTTTAACATAAATAAACAATAATCATTGTTGCATAGTGGGATAGCAGCTGATCTTTATCTTCTATTTGCTTCTTTGCATCTTCCATATTTTCTTCAGTCAACATGTCATACTTTTTTATTTTTTTAAATTTTTTTTTGAAGATTTTATTTATTTATTTTGACAGAGAGAGACAACAGGGAGAGAGGGAACACAGGGAACCAGAGGCGGGGCTGGATCCCAGGACGCCGGGATCATGACGTGAGCCAAAGGCAGATGCTTAACGACTGAGCCACCCAGGCGCCCCAACATGTCATACTTTTTTAAAATGTAAGATAAAATTATTTATTTATTTATTTAAAGATAAAATTTTTAAAAGAAAGAATACAGGAAAGGTAGGTAGTCAGGCAGACATCGAGAACTAGTACTTTCAGTGGAAAAGGAAAAGGGAAGATGTATAGAAATTCCTAAATTACAACACCACAGCATAAAAATATAGGTGGGGTCATGAGGCCTATAATTTTGTTGAACACATTTCAGCATAGACAGATGATATAAATGTGCACATTCTGGTCTATGCCCCAGGGGCAGTTAATTGTCCTAACTGGGAATGTGAATACTTCAGAGTGGTTGATTAGCATTTGACCAAAAGCCACACTCCAAGGTTTAAGTACTTCAACTAACTTTTATCTAACATAATGAATATCAGAAATGGATTTTCAGAGATTAAATTAGTGGTGTTTAAGATACTGGATTAGCCAAAACATTTTAGTAATACTCATTTGAGCAAGAATATATGAATCTAGCAAGTCCTTTATCCTTAGGAATGACTTAGCCTTGAATCCTCAGCTGCTAATTAGGAGGATTCTTAGTCAAAGGAGTTAACCAAATGGCCAATAGAATCCTACAAATGGAATACTGTTGCAATTGCTTCAGGCAAATCTTTTTCTTTTTTTTTTTTTTGAGAGAGAGAGAGAGAGAGAGAGAGAGACAAGGTGGGGGGGGAGAGGCAGAGGGAGAAAGCAAATCCCAAGGGCTTGACCTCAGGACCCTGAGATCATGATCTGAGCCAAAATCAAGAGTCTGACACATAACCAAATGAGCCACCCAGGTGCCCCATCTTCAGGCAATCTTTCATGCAAGGTTCTGTTGCCGCACTGAAAGAGGACACTGGGACTTCAATAAGCTTATAAAACAAGTTATGATACTGTTTTATTTATACTGACTAATAGGATGTTTTTATGTGTGCCAGCATGTGTTTCATTATAACCTGGTAACAAATTTGTAAGGGAGTAACTGATCCTCACTTATCTCCAAGTGCTTGTGGCCCTCAATATCTATCAGAAAGAACCTAAGAACTGTGCAGGACCTAAATAATTGGATTTAGTCTGTTTGTCACAAGTGGGGAGGAGATGGCCCTGTAGGAACTGCAAAACAAACACACATCCTGAAATATTTTCACTAATATAAGCATTATAAAGATTTTATTTATTCATTTGAGACACAGAGATACAGAGAGAGAGAGAGCATGAGCAGGGGGAGAGGCAGAGGGAGAGGGAGAAGCAGGCTTCCCGCTGAGCCAGGAGCCCGATGCGGGGCTCGATCCCAGGACCCTGGGATCATGACCTGAGCCAAAGCAGACGCTTAACCATCTGAGCCACCCAGGCACCCCTAATATAAGCATTATAGATGAACTGGTAACACATTATATATTCTTAAAAATAATAGTTCAGTAAAAGGTATGTCCTGCAAATAATTAGACATAAATAAACTATGACTGTTGCTATGTTTGTATGCAAATTATGTGGGGCTCAATCCCAGGACCCTGGGATCGTGACCTGAGCCGAAGGCAGATGCTTAACGACTGAGCCACCCAGGCACCCCAATCATCAAGTAACTTTATACATGTATAAATTTGTTAGATTTTAAGTGATGATAATAGATTATTTATTATGAGGATAATAGATTATGTATTATAATCATGCTTAAAGAGCAAATGAAAATTATATAAGTGGCTTCATAGCTGCCTTTTTTGTAATGCATCCTCAATAAACTGATGACAGTGCCATAACACCAAAGAGTGAATAAACTGACTTATATTTCACAAATAACTCTTTGGTAGGCAATTCTTAGGTTAACAACTACTTCTCAATGAATTGCTTGTATTTTATTTGCACAATAGATTGCTTAAAGTTATGTGTAAAATGATTATCATGTCTCAAATAATAATAATGTAAGGTGAAACACTGCAGTGATGACCATTGTGTATCTAAGAATTTTCTGGAATAACAGTAAATAACTGGTATATGTGTTTTCTGGGAGAAAAGGTATACTGCTTTCATTAGATTCTCAACAGTGTCTGATAAAAATTTTTCAGGAACTACTGTATTTGTTTGATAGGTGTTATATATTCTAACTAAAGCTAAAAGAAAATGAATTATTATGGGTTGAACTGTGTCACACACACCTCTCCCCCATTCATATGTTGAAGTCTCCCTATTTCAGAATGTTACCTCATTTGGAGATAGAGTCTTTATAGAGGTAATCCAGTTAAAAAGGAGGTCATTAGGTTGAGCTCTAATCCAACATGACTGGTATTCTGGTAAGAGGAAATTTGGACACAGACATGTGTAGAAGGAAGATGATGTAAAGACACAGAGGCAATAACCATCTACAAACCGAGGAGAGGGGCCTGTAGAAGATCCTACTCTTACAGCCCTCAGAAGGAACAAATCCTGCCAACACATTGATCTTGGATTTCTGAACTCCAGAACAATGAGACAATACATTTCTGTTGCTTAAGCCACTCAGTTGGTGGTACTTCATTATAGAAACACTAGCAAACTAATACATGAAATTAGGCTAAAATCCCACAACACATTATTTTTTTTGGGTTAGCACTGAAGTAAGTTACTATATAAAAAGAAGTTACTATATAAAAGTCAAATTTAGCCAAGCTCTCATTCCTAAAATTAATAAATTTTGATTTTTTTTCTTCCCTAGGAAAGTATGAAGGCAGAGAATTCATTAGCTAAAATAGGGGATTCAGGATCATCTATATATTCAACTGGCTGCCTGAATCATCTGAAGACAACAGATATTGATGGTTGTGGCACCATCTAGGTAGGTAACTTTGAGCAAGCCTCTTCCTCTCTCTGCATCTAAATTTTTTCATCCATAAAATGAAAGGCTGGGATTATAAGGTGCTTTACAAGTTTCTTCTGTAGCTATAACTTTATTTATGAATAATGGAAACAATCACTAAATACCTGAAAAAATGGGGGTGCCTGGGTGGCTCAGTCCGTTAAGTGTCCAACTCTTGGTTTCGGCTCAGGTCATGATCTCAGGGTTCTAAGATCAAGCCCTGCGTTGGTCTCCGCACTCAGCTTGAACTCTGCTTGAGATTCTTTCTCCCTCCCCCTCCAGCTCTCTGCCCCCACCTTCCAGCTATCTAAAAAACAAACAAAAAAAAACAATCCCCCCGCCAAACCAATGAAAATGTTTTGAGGTTTCCTTTCAGAACATTGTTGGTAAAGCAAAATCTCTTCTAGTCTTTCCACATTATAAATTCAGTTTTTTCAAACTATCTTTTAGTTGTCTTCTTTTCCTGGAAGAAAATCCCTGCAATACAACAATTTTACCAGATTACTACTAGGTTAATAATTTTAGTAAGTTTGAAAATAATCTATTATCATCGCTTAAAATCTAACAAAACACGAAGTCCTGCTAGTCTGATTTTATTCTGGAAATATTTTCTAAATTTTGCCACTTTACTCCAACTTCTTTACCATTGTCTTCATTCAGATTCTGAATAATGCTCTTAAGAACTGGTTTCCAGCTTCCTCCTCACCGCTTTTGTTCTGGTCTTACACCTTTCCAATCCATCTTTTACATGCCAAGTGATTTTCTAAAATTTAAATCTGACTACATATTCCTGGGTTTAGAATTCTTTAACACCCTGCCATCTTAACATGGATTCCCTGTTCCACTTACATCAGAATTACTTGAAGTACCTGTTAAAAATGTAGCCTTTAAAAGAGTTCCCTGAAATCATCCCCAAATGTCTTGTCTTGTACAATACTGCATCCCCAATATATAATATTGGTACACAGAGGGAGCTCAATAAATACTTGCTGGATAATTGATGAATAAATGAACTGGTCTGGACCGAAAGAATTAGAATCTGGGAAAGAGAAGTCTATGTTTGGGATAACTGGGTGGCTCAGTTGGTTGAGCGTCTGCCTTTGGCTCAGGTCATGATCCCAGCGTCCTGGGATCAAGTCCTGCATTGGGCTCCTTGCTCAGCAGGGAGCCTGTTTCTCCCTCTGCCTGCCACTCCCCCTGCTTGTGCGTGCTCTCTCTCTGACAAATAAATAAAATCTTAAAAAAAGAAAAAGAAAACTCTATGTTTTTATTAAGCCTCTTAAGTGATTTTTATCACAGGAAAGTCGAGAAGCACTGGTGCCCAAGATAATGTCCAGATTCAGTAGAATAACACAATATAGAAGGCCCTTCACAACCTGCACTCAGGCTAGTTTTCCAAATTCATCTTTTGTCACTCCCCATTTATTCCCTGTTCTTAGCCATAGCAGATACACTGGTTCATCACAAGCAATATATCTGAATCTGTTGAACATCCCTTTTTCCTGCTGTGTCCCGTTCTCTTTTGCTAGCTGTACAACTTGACTCAAGTGAATTCTTGAGTGAAGCCTGTCAGACAACTTCACATTTATTTCTCTCTCCTCTAAGTACCCACAGCACCAGCTCTTTTATGGTACTATAATATTATCATTGTACTACTTTTGTTCATTTCCGTTTCTGCTTTCCAGACAGCACCACGAGTTCCTCCAAGTCAAGAACGGTCTTATTCCTTTGTATTCCCAGAGCCTGATATAGTGGGAGGAGGCACTCACTTTCATTCAAATGTTTGTTGAATGAAAGAAAGAATGAATAAATGGAAAAGTAAAGAGACCAAAAATTACAGGGATTAAGATTTAAATTATAAGTCAATGCTCTGAGATTTTTAGAAATCAGCAAGTCAGTAAATATAATCTGCTTATTCTCTGTTCTGCAACATTTTCTCTTGTGTAGTGGTTCTCGAAGTGTGGCTTGGGTACTCTTGGAGGTGTTCGATACCTTTTCATGGAATCTGTGAGTCAAAACTATTTTTGTAGTTTTTGTCTTTTGCATTCTCATTCTCTCTCATTCTCTCATACAGCAGAGTATTCCAGAGGCTACATGACATTAGTAACACAACTGACTGGATACAGAAAGAGAGATGGAATCCAGCTTTCTTCAATTAATCCAGACAGTAAAGAGATTTGCAAAAATGTAAAATGATGCCACTCTTTTCACTATTTTTTTTAAAAATAATATTTGTGTTAATATGTAATGGGTTTACTATTGTTACTTAATATTTAAAAAATTTCTTGGTTTTAATTTCTAATATGGCAACTACTAATAGATACAATTTTTTAAAGGCTGTTTAGAGTCTTTAATTTTTACAAGTGTAAAGGAGACCTCAGGCCAAAAAGTTTACATTTTATAAACTGGTCAAATTGTACAAATTGGTCGAAAGCAGGTACTTACCCAAAATGTAAGGCCTGTAACTCAAAGTTTTAGGTTTTTTCCACCACTGAATGGCCAAACTTCTTTGAGCAAACATGCTGATATCTTACCTAGTTTTCAAGCCTGACAAAATATGCCACTTCTTCCATGAAGACCTTTTCTATTTCTTTCCAACTGCACATGCTCTCTGCTGGTTTGATCTGTATGCCATTTCCTCCCCCTCCCAGCTGTCTTATTGTTTTGTATTTTAATTATTTGTATACTTGTCATAATCAGAATGTGTCCCCCCAAAATTCACATGTTGAAATCCTAATGCCTGATGTGATGATATTAGGAGGTGAGGTCTTTGGGAGGTGCTTAGGTCATGAGAGTGGAGCCTTCATGAATGGGATTAGTGTTCTTATAAATGGGACTTCACAGAGACCCCTACCCTTTTTGCCATGTGATACAAAAAGTCTGCAACCCAGAAGCAGGCCCTCACCCAACCTTGTTGGCACCCTGATCCAGCCTCTAGAATTGAGAGAAATAAATTTCGGTTGTTTAGAGTCACCCAGTCTGTGTATTTTGTTGTAGCAGCCCTACTGGACTAAGACACTTGTTTTTCATTCCTGTCAGACCATAAAGTCCATGAAGGCAGAGCAGTATAGTGTGCAAAGACAAAGTGCTTCAGAATCTAACACACCTGGTTTGAATTCTAGTTTCCTTTTTATTAACTCTGAGATCCTGGGCAAGTTTCTTCAGTTCTTAGGACTCTAGTTCAACATTTTTGAATGGAAACAGTAATAACTACTCTTGTTGTCCTGCACATTGAATAGAAGAGCTTAGTACATTTATTTCTGGGCACCCAATAAATGGTAGCTATTACTATTAAAAATCTGTAACTCTTGTATTTCCAATCATATTACCTTAAACACTACAGGCACTGGATAAATATGTCTTAGATTAACTGAAATGTAACATGTTAGTAGGAAGATATAAAACACTAGGATTATTTTCTCTTTCTGTCCCTCTGAACTTTTTTTTTCCTTTCTCATTTCTCTTAATCTGTAATTATAAAGCTCTCAAAAGATTTTTGAAAAAATCTATAACTATGTCTTAAGTATACTCTTTTGCTTCCCCTACCATTATGTCTAATCTACCATTAAGTTGTTCCATAGATCTTAAGGGGTATGCTATTCTGAGATTGCTAAAGAGAAATTATTTTCCTTCCTTCAGTAGTGGCAAAAAAAAATTTATTTATACTTCTTCCATAATATGTGTATCTTTAACTTCTACAAATAAAATGGACTTAGTATTCTTAGCATAACTGAAATACACAGATAGTCCCTGAATTATACAAATTTTGACTTTATGATGATGCAAAAGTATTACACATTCAGTAGAATCCATACTTTAAATTTTGATCTTTTGCTGGGCTAGCAAATATGTGGTATAATACTTTCGTGATGCTGGGCAGTGGCAGTGAGCCCCAGCTCCCAGTCAGCCACGCAGTCATTGAGAGTAAACAACTCTTACAATCATTCTGTAATCATTCAACCACTGTTTTTCATTTTCAGTACAGTATTCAAAAAATTACAGGAGATATTAACACTATTACAAAATAGGCTTTGTGTTAGATGATTTTGCCCAACTATAGGCTTAAGGAAGTGTTCCTAGCATATTTTAGGTAGGCTAGGCTAAGCTATGATGTTTGGTAGGTTAGCTAATATTAAATGTACTTTTGACTTATGATATTTTCAACTTACTATTTGTTTATTGGGTCATAATCCCATTGCAAGTTGAGGGAGATGTGTACATTAGATGTCAGTGGTTGAAGATACTGGAAAATTTATTTGTAAAGGATTGCTCAAAGAATGCTGTAAAAATTCACATAAAAATGTACTGATTTGTGAAAGACTTCAGAGATGATGAAGACTTTCCTTACCTCATCAATAAGCTGATTTCAAACTTTCCAGAATCAACAGATCTGAGTTACTGATGCCAAAAGCATTGTTAATTTCAAACTGTTTGGAGGCAATAGAATATAATCTAATAGTAAGAGAAAAGCAACCAAATTCTTTAGAAAACTTCTGTTCTTGTTTTTTAAGTACTTCTGTAACCAAAGCATGTAGTTAGTGATATTTCTCAAAAAATCAAATGCTAAAAATTCTCTCTTAACATTCCTACATTTCCTTCTGTCTCACAAAGCTGCTTATTCTCTCCTTCAAATCCTGCATATTATGACATGATCACCATATGAGGCAAAGGCTCTCACGATTATCCTACCTGTTTCTAAATGTCTTCTCAGCCTCAGCTGACTCAGTTATGTCAGCCACACAGATGGGCATTGATCCTAACCTTGAAGATCCTGAGGAAGATTGCACAACATCTTCCAAACATCTTCTTACTGCATAATTTGTATTCTCAAGAAGCAGAAACAGAACTAAAATACTGATTTGTGTTTCTTTGTCTAGTATGTATCTTCCAGTCCTTTAGTCTACCTGCGTGCTGTTTGTTTTTTTTTTTTTAAATCAAATTAACTGTAAACAACACTGGAAGTGCAGGCTTTAGGTTCTCCTAGAATATTACGAAACTTCTGAGAAGGATGAAAGCCAAACAAACTACAGAGTGCCAACACAAACGAAGACTCTCACAGGAAAAGAACAACTTAAAAATACGTGTCTGTAAGAGAATGGTATCTTGAAACAGAAACTTAATTGTGGTGGCTTCTCCCAACGTCCGTGAGAAGAAAGGATAGGAGAGAAACAGAGTAAGCGGCAGTGTCAGGACAAAAGACACAAATTCCACAGCTGCAGAGGTGTGAAGAACCTTAGAGGTTTGTCACCCGCGCCCCGTCCGACGGGTGAACTAATCTCCTCTACATATCCGGGACTATGGTCGCCCGGCCTTATTTCAGAAGACAGTCACCTCTCTTCCGCCCCTTGCTCCCAAAGTCCCTTTCCGAGAACGCTGTCACCCACCTCCGAGGACTGTGCCCAGGAAGATGCATTTCTTTTTATGACGTTTTAGAAAATTCCACATAGATCTCAGCATCCTCAGGCCCTAAAGGTACGG